TGAGCCTGGTGGAGAGAAAGGAGGCTGTGAGAGTCCCCTCACAGAGGGTGGAGACCAGTGCTACAGTTTCAGCCAGGGATCACCATGCATGGGGAACCTCAGGGAAAAGGACCTCACACAGGACGTTTGTCCAGCTCGTCTGTACTCTGGAGACTGGATGTGGAGGAATACTGAACGTTTTACAAAGGCCAGTCAGTCAGATAGAGGTCACGAAAAAGAACAAAGACACCGTGGCAAAATGTGCCTCTCACCATCTGGGAGCCAGAACTCAGGAGACAGTGAGCCGGTCTGACACCGGCATGGCTCTGACCACAGGGACAAGGGTGCTTTCCTTAGTACAAAGGCTGAGGACTTACAAGGTACAATCAGAGAAGGCAGGGGACAGGGGAGGGATGCTCAATCAGAATTTTTAACACTGATCCTAAGGCTTGAGGCTTCTGCAGGATGTTTGAAGAGGAGGTGTGCTTTAGAATCAGATTGCCTGGGTTTGTTGTCTGGCTTACTTGTAGCTCTACAGTTTGCTTGGGATTGAGAACCAGGTCCCAGTTATTCAATAACTGGTCCCCACTTGGATGTGGAGATAAAACAACTCCCCAAGCTCATAGAGCTAACAAAGATGTGGTATTCCTTCATCTCTCATTGCTAGTAGTCTTTACCTGACCTATACCCAAAGAACTACTAGGAATGGAAGGAGAGGGGAGGGAGAACGGAGAAAAGAAGAAGAAAGGAAGGTAGGAAAGTAGGAAGGAAGGAAGGAAGGAAGGAAGGAGGGAGGGAGGGAGGGAGGGAGGAAGGAAGGAAAGAAGGAAAGGAGGGAGGCTTCTTGTCAATGTGCTGTGGCAAAATATTTGGGGAGACCAGAGGAATCCTCTAAGTCTTCACTTGAACTGCTTCATGTTATGTTCATATTTTCACTGTCCACCAATCCCATGAATAATTTAGAGTGGGTTGGCTAAGTCTTGGTAACAAAAATATTTGAAGTTAAAAAAAACTAACAGATGGATAGGGCTATTTTGAATAAACACAAGGGGAAAAGTATTCAAAGGCTACTATACTTATACCACAAATAAGAAATTCATATTAGAGAGAAGTCAAATACAGAGAAAGGCTACTATGTTTATAAACTCATTTGAAACATAATTAGCACCCTTAAATGCATACTAAACTAAATATAAAAATAACATTCAGAGGATACAAGCAGGCTATATCATTCAATAATAGGGAAAGAGATCAAAGAAATGACAGAAGTTCAAATGACTTGAATTTTATATATATATAAAATTTGGATGTGAGCATATTCAAGCTCAGGGCCAGGGTAATGTCCCTGAGACATTTTGCTCAAGGCTAGCACTCTACCACTTTAGTCACAGTTCCACTTCCAGTTTTTAGGTCATTAATTGGAGATAAGAATCCAATGGACTTTCTTGCCTGGCTGTATCCTCAGATCTCAGCCTCCTGGGGAGCAGGATTACATGTGTGAGTCAACAGTGCCTAGCCAATTATGTATTTTAAAAGTATAGCTACAGAGTTGGGTTTGGTGATGCATGCCTGTAATGCTAGAATTCTGGAAGCTGAGGTAGGAGGACCTTGAGTTTGAAGTCAACCTAGGCACTGGAAGTTCTGGTCTAGCTTGAGCTGTGTAGCAATACCCTGTCTCAAAACACAAAGCAAATAAACACAAGTATAATTACAGCATTTTCATATATACACAGAGAAAGGGAAAGCTCCATAGTTAAATTATTAGGTCAAAGAATAAAGAAAATAAAGAAAATAATATAATAGATAATAATACAATATAAAGCTAAATTTTAAAAAGTAATTACTTTCAATCGAGGGAAACAGTAAACCTAAATTTTATTTTTTTATTTTTTTAAACCTAAATTTTAAACATTCAATTTTCTTTTACTAGAAGACATATTCTCATTCAACTAATGTGAAAAGAGTTAGTGAATGGCTGAAGAAAATGGGCCCATCTCCAAAGCATTAGTGATCTCTAGGGAGGGGTAAATGAACCCTGTATACAGAGGCACCATGGAAGGCACTGGAAATGTGTACAGGTTAGAGAGGAAATGTGTCAGGACTAGTTTTGGCGTATAGCCTGACTTTTATCTTAAACACAATAGTTGCAAATATAATTATGATATGGATCAAAGAACACTCAAAGGGAAGGACTGTATAACAGAACAAATCTGCAAGGCACAGGTCTTGCTATGCTAACACAGGCACTTTCTGAGATAACAGAGAATGGATAAACACAATGGCACAGACAACATTTGTCTAATTTTAACAATACTTCCAACCCTGCGCTGAAACTCAGCATGCTGAGAAATTAAGAGATGCGGTGTGTAAATGGCAGGACAGTGGCCACCATGCCTTATACAGGACTGAAATAAGGAACTGTTGTTCTGTCACACAAACAACATACTGTTGAAATGTGAACAAATGTCTACACACATTATTACTGTAGCCCAAGTTTGAATAAGCAGCCTAATACATTATGTGAAACACAGCTTACACAGTAATCATTTTATCATTAATCACTCAGAGGAGGGTTAATTTGATAGCATGCAAGTACCTAGACAATCTACAAGAAAAATTTTGAGTGTAAACAAAAGAAAAGAATTGAACAGGGATTCACCTACAAAAAATAAATGAAGGTAAACTCAGGGATGTTCTCAGTTAAAAATTACTGTTGTATGGGGTGTTCAGTTGAGTTGAATTCTTCAAGATTTGTGGTATAGTTTTCCCTTTATACCCTTCTGATGCACTGAAAACTCAGTGAGCTCACGTAAATACATAGCCATATTACCAAATACTTGGATGTGTCATAATATCAACTATGTTATCAAATGTTTTGACGCACCTTGGCTTCATTTTCTAAGTGTTTAGTTCATTATAGCAAGGGCTTCACAGGTAAGGCCCTGTCTTAGAAAAGAGATGTAATGATGTTGGCTTACTCTAGAAGTGCAATTATTAAGGACCCATTGTAAATCTAAGAAACATGGATTTAAAAGAATGAGAAACTAATTCACATCTTTAATCACTCATGCAATAATTCAAGATGTGAGTGTTTGTATTATGTTTTAGGCTTCCTGAATACAGATCCTGTAATCGCGTAAACTCTGATTATGATAATGGTCTTGAAAAGGCAATTAAACTAAGAAGAGATGTGTTTCTTCAACAATTCTCAGGTATTGAAATGGAAAATGTACTGTATATCACATAGTAGATATAACAGTCTAAAAATCTAATTAAAAGAATCTAAATTAGCTTGATACAGTGGCTCATGCATGTACTCCTAGCTACTCAGGAAACTGTGACCTGAAGTGGGATAGTCTGACTCGATGACTCTCACCTCCAATTAATCACCAGAAAACTAGAAGTGGAGCTCTGGCTCAAGTGCTAGTCTTTAGTTAAAAAAAAAGCAAAGGGTCAGTGCCCAGGTTCTGAGTTTAAGTCCCAGGATTAGTACATTAAAAAAAGAATCTACATTAAAGAATTACAATGAAAGTTCAGTAGGTCTGAAGTATTTAGAAAAGTTTCTTTCAGGAAGACAAGCATTCATGTTATACTATTTAAAAACAATACATCACCTAGCAAGTTCAACATCTGTGGTTACTCTCAGTGCAGTTTTTGTTAACTGATTATGACTCTGATTAAGATCTGAATAAATGGACCAGTCTACTAACTATGGAACTATTTCCACTGTCGGCTGGTAGTAGAAGTACTCTTGTGATTTACAGCACCACAGTGTTTTGTAAAGTGCTTTATAAAGGCCATTATGTTATTAATTAGTTACATTGATCACACAACACAGCAGTACTTAAATTCCCTTAGACTGCTTTGCACGTAGAACTCTATCTACCTACGGGCATACCGTAAGCACTAATGAAGTCGGAGAGACCACATTAACTACATGTGCCAGGATGAGGGCTTCATCAAGTCAGAAGAGGGTTCTGTATAAGATTCCTGCCACAGAGTGCCACTGTCTTCTCATGAAATCATAAAATCAGCTGATTCCAGATTAGAACATACCATCAGGACTTCAGAACGTCACATAAGGTAAGACTACTACACTCACATGTATAAATCCACCCCGTTCTACAAATCCATGCTCTACGCAGGGTTCTGTCTTTTTGTTTTGGACTGGCTTGAGGCCCGAGTTTGATGGGATGCTTCGTTTGGATTCTATGCCATCATACCTAAACACTTAAGGTCCAGCTGGATCGCAGCTTCTAACTGGAGACTGAGAACATTTTTTTTTCTGGTTGTCATAATAAAGGAGAAGCATATATTAATGTAAAAATGTCAATTTTCAGATGTGAAAACCAATACCTAGAGTCAAAATCTGGCACACAATGTCAGCCTTTAGCATCTCAAAAGCTCACACGAGCAAGTAGTTATTCTGCTTTGGGCCATGAGGCAGATGTGAGGGGGTCGCTGACCAGGGAAGAGATTGGAACTTTGTAGCCTTACAAGTAAAGAGGAAATAAAACATTGTTAGGGAAGATAAATGAGATCTGCTTGTGGGGAGGGGGATGGCCTAAATGTAATCAAAAGGAAAGAATAGGCCATAAAAATTAAGATATAGATCTCTTAACTTCAATATTGGCTATTTCTGGCATTTCTGATTCTATTCTTTTTTTCTTGACAGCTTTACCATTGCTAGAGTAGTTCAAAATATATAGACAAACTCAATCCATTTCTATGACTAATTCTCATCATTTGTTATGCATAAATACAGAAGTCGGAAGGAAACTAACCAACAATTTGTTGTGCCATCTTAACCTCATACCATCCCTCCCAATTTCTGCCACAGGCCACTGAGCAATCAACCCTACGTTAACCAACATTTGTGTCAAAGGCAAGTCCTCCTGTGTGGTGTCACGTCACAAGTTAGACCCACGAGAGGACGTGATACCTCGAAGGTGCTCAGCCAGGGAATGCAGAAACCAGGGCGGGCAGTGACCCTCAGGAAAAGACGGAGCGCATGCACTTACCTTCCTCCTTCCTTCTCTTTGCTTCTTCCTCATTTCTCTCTTTGGCTTTCAGTGCTTCATCAGCTTTGGCTGTAAGAAAAACAATGAAATACTTGCTTTTATTTTATGACCAGACTGTAAGTGAGAACAAGGGGGAAAGGAAACAGACATGAATTACTGCTGTGAAGTAGTCAAAAGAAAGAGATGTGGCAGCTGAAAATGTGAAGCATATTTAGAACTGCTACACAATGCATTTATTTACAATCTCCAAAGCCTAGTTCAGAATAACCTCTGTGCAAAGAAGAAAATGAAGTTAAGCAACATGAGGGTAAAGGCAGATATGAATAGGCAAGAGTGTCAGTCATCCATTAAAATCAGGTAACGCATTTGCCTTCAACATTGGTGGATTTACACATCAAGTCTCAGAAACCCACAGTCGCTGTAGGAAAATGTCAAATGAGGGTACATTCCTCCCCCATAGTCGAGCGTAGCAGTGCGTCATTCATGTTATGACAGCATTCAGTAAAAAGACTTTTTCCCTCTAGAAACCGCTTCCCTTATTACTTAATTATCTACTAGTTGCTCAACTGCAGGGGTTTTCAAACACTTCACACAGATGTTAAAGAAGATTAAAAATATACAGCACAGTAACAAGGGACTATCAATATACTCTGTAAATTAATTAAATTTCTGTTCTAGCACATCATTTATTCCGAAGCATTAACGTCTCAAAGGAGCGATTCTCCTTTATCGCTGTCTCACGGCCTGATGAGCGAACTAAGTGAAAATAAGCCTCTAATGGCATTAGAGTTGATGAAATATTAAGTTAAAAAAGTATTGCCTTGTCAAAGAAAAGAATCAGACCCAGCCAGCATTAAACTCTAGATGGGCCTTTATCATACTGAGAGCAGCAACGCAAGCAGTGATTTTAAAAGATAAGCACACATTTCAGTTTCTGGCTGCATATGTTTTCCTATGCAAGGACAAACATCCTTCTGAAGAATAAAACCTGGTCTGCAAAAAGGAATTTAAGAAACAATTCCTGTCTTGTACAAAACTATTTTTCTTCCAAGTTTGGTTTTCCTCACCATCAATATTGATAATTTTCTTCAAGTATAAAACTTACATAATGGTGCTATGAAGTGCTATCTCCAATTACACAGACATCTGTTTCCATTTATAAGCTTACTTAGCCTGCATTTAAAGTCATGAAATATTAAAACTTTTATGCCACTTGGTATCATTGCAAAAAATCTATTAAATTAGATAATAAAAACAAACCACTAGTAACTCTAAAGACATTTACTTCATTTACACTTTATTCTCCCTGGTACAAGGACAAGGATAATAGAAATTCCATTTAAATTCAATTTTGGTTATATGTGTAATTGTAGATATACCCCTGGAGTCATGTAAAATGCCTGGCGTATGTTTCTTTCAAATGATCCCGCTCAGATTCCCATTCTACTCCTTACAACCATCTTCAATATGTATTAGCAGAGCTCATTAGACTGAAATTTAATAATGCAAACATCAGGTGGACTTCAAGAACCTCCATTAACAACGTAAGATGGATTGCTTATATATAACTCTTGGGCCAACTGGGCACAATTTAAATTCAATAAACTAGCCTGCCTAAATCTGATTTATCTATTTCACTACGAGGGTTTGTCCTTTCTTACTGATTTGTTGCTATACATGGACAATTCATTGGAATATTGTTTTATATGTGTTTTTTTAAAACTGCAAATGGCTCTGATGCTATAGTTAAGTATTTTATACAATTCAGCTTCATACTGTCAGTCAAGGTCAGAAGTATAAATGTAAATACATGTGCATGCACAAAAATCCTTTGAATTATGTTGAAAATAATAGACAATCTTCAATGCATACATGTGAACATAATCATTATGTCCTCCCACAAGAAGCTGGATGCATTCACGTGAAGAAAAACCTACTTCGAGTGCATTGTTAGGATGAACTTCTCCTTAATTATTAAGGGAATCTGGAAGAAGCAATTTTTTCTGTTATGATAATATGATTAATACCTCCATAGGAACAGAACTTGCAGCCATTCATACATAGCTCAAATTACTCTGGGAATCTTTGTGTTGTCTAAAAGATGGCAATCCTGTTTCAAAGATGAAAATACTGAATGTGAAGGGAGATGCCACACATCCACTACTAGCACTATTCCTATGATTTGCCATCTTCTTTGGAATTCACTGAAGCCATCTATTATAAAGCACATCATTTGCCAAATTACTCCCATCTTCTAGTTGTACACAACCTCTACCCCCTTTATTCTCCCAATCACTTCCAAGTTAACTAAGTCCTCTCCAGCCTTTGCTCTCTGCACTACCCAGCCAAAATGCTACGGCTTGAGCATGTGGACATGTAATCTGACTGCAGTTTTAGGAGCTTGCTACGGCAGGGTGGCTAAAGGTGCTTAGGTCAATGGGGAGGCCCACATGCCTGGAGAGATCCATTCATGGACTGACATGTGGTGGCAAAGCTGACGAGGGAGTGGCCTGCACCACAGCTGGTGCCTTCACCACACGGGTGCCCTACGCAACTCAGGAGTCTGCAGTCCCCACAAGAGCCTTCACAGGTGTGGCCATCTGCCTGGGCCTCCAGCCGCCCAAGCATGAGCCATCCTGCTACCTTGCACCTATGGAAGCCACTCAGTGTGGCACTCAGTTACAGAAACAGAAGACCAACCATCTCAGTCCCATGCTAATAAAGACAGTCATCTCTCTAAATTCTTGTTTGTCATGCTGTTACTAGTACATGCAATTTTTGTCTTCTGTTTTTGCTGAAGAGAGACCATACAAAATGGTATATAAATGCTGCTGATATACCCAGCACTGGTAGTCATGACTGAGGGGTGTACTGGAACTGGTAGCCACAACTGAGGACTGGGGGCTCTAAGCAAGAGCTGTCTGCACACAGGCATTGGGGGGCTGTGTGCTGCCTATTTAGGAGAGAGATAATCAGCCAAGGTAGAAACAGATTGTTTATAGTTAGGGTTTTGTTTCCTTCCAAGAGTCACATTAAGCATGAAGGTAGTTTTAACTTAAACCTAGAGACTATGCAGCTTTAGCTCAAGCCTGCTAGGATCTCTTTCTAGGTATTAATATTGAGAATCATAATTATTGTCTGCAGAAGTTAAAAAAAATGCTACTTGTGTCCAATTCCTTTTAAATCTCCACCTACTCATAGCTAGTGTTTTTACATGTTTAAAGACTATACAACTATCACCCTATCAGCTCTCTCCATAAAAGCAGGAGAAATACAAACCCAGCTTGCAGCCTGATGCTGGAAAATTGTGAATTCAGTGTAATAAAAACTGGAAACCAAAAACTGATGTGATATTTTTCTACTTTTTTTTTTTTTTTTGGTTGGTTGTGGGGCTTGAACTCTAGGCCTGAGCGCTGTCCCTCAGCTTGTCAGCTCAAGGCTAGCGCTCTACCACTTGAGCTACAGCGCCACTTCCAGTTTTCTGGTGTTTATTGGAGATAAGAGTTTCACAGACTTTCTTGCCCAGGCAGGCTTTGAACTGTGATCCTCAGATCTCAGCCTCCTGAATAGCTAGGATTACAGGCATGAGACACTGGCGCCCCAGCATTTTTCTACTTCTTGAAAGAAGCATTGTGGAAGTAGAAATTGTAGTATAAGTTCTGCTATAATATTGCTTACATTTAATCACTTGAGATTATTTTCTTTTATGTAAAATTCTTTTATATGCTCCTAATGAGAAAGTTTTTTTCTTTACAGGTAGATCCACTATCATGCCTTCTGAATTTTCTCTTAATTCTTATGACCCCAGGTGGGCTTTAAACATTACCCAAACTTGCAAGGATTTGCTTCTTATCCTTCCTTCCTTTCCTCTTTCCTACATTTCCTTCCTTCTCCCTCCTATTCTTGCTCTCTCTCAGCAGTGGGAGACATTTCTAAGTTGTGTGTTAGGAAAACTGAGCATGTGGCACAGGTCTTCTGCTGGCATCATGGCATTCCAGTGGCCTGGAAGGAAGCAGACTCACTTACAATCTAAGATGTCAATATGAATACTTGATAGGCTTGTTTCTCTAAATATGAAATCAGTAGCCTTCTCACCATCTGTATACTTCTTCTCCAGTTAACTGCATCAGCTTTCACATTCTATAAAATGAATAACTTTTTTAGCCATGGTAATTCAGGAACCATTTACTAAAATCTAAAAACTAAAGTTAAAAAAAGCAAACAATCCAATAACAATCACATGGGTAGACTATTATGATGTTTAGATTCTTAAATAAAAGCAGCATTAATGTTATCACAGAATGATGCTATGAAATATCAAAGTAACTTCCTCACTCTGTGTCCTGGCTGGAACTGTGTGCTGGACTCTACTGGCGGATGACCATTACTATCACCCACCCAGAGAGAGTTGCGCAACAGCTCAGGAAGACTCTGCGCTTGCAATGTGCAATCTACCTCTGAGAGGAAGTGCATCTTACACTTTGATAAGGGATTCGTAATTCTTCTCAGTAACTCTGCTCACCTTATCACTACAAAGGTTTAAGATGGTGTCTTTGAAAACTGACAAATCAAAGTCTAGAAATGCCAATTAATTATGTACCTCAGAAATTAAGAAAGGGATGTAAGAATTTTACATATGAACAAGTTATTTTTCTCCTAATTTTTACTTTATTCTTGCATGAAAGGAGGTGCGTCTTTAAAAATGGAATTAGATAAATCTTTTATTTACATAATTGATTCCAGGGCTTCAGATACGCACAGAAAACACAGCTTCAGACAGGCCTACGTGTGTGTGCCCTGCGCCAGGCACATCCACATCCTGCTCTGTGGAATTCGCAGAAGGTCTCGGGGCTGAGGATCTGCTTAACTTGTACAGCACGGAGCCAAGCGCTATCACACAGTCACTACCACCGGAACTTTTTTAAACTGCACAGAAATTATATGTAAAACAAATCTAACACTATTGCTTCCACATAAAGGATACTTGGTTAAAGTTTCATAATCAAGTGAGAGCATTCATGGACAAAATGGCATTGTGAAAGGAAATAATAGGGACAAAACAGCCATGT